CTGCCAAATAAAAAAGTTTTCATACTAACAAAAAACACTAAGTTTACATGGACACAAATATTCTGATATCAGTCTGATTGAGTCAATGGTCTGAACTAGTCACTGTCGTGTAGACAACAGGTTCTGATTATTTGCAGCTGAAACAGGGCGTACTTGGAATAAGCAATAAACAAATTAATACGTGGATCATTCCTACGTTGCTTTATGTAGACATGTATAGGTCTTAACCACATTATGACGTCCTATTGGAGTTACAGTAACACATGCCCCTGGGTTGAAACGAGATGGAAAAACAAAAAGGAGTAGTAGCTTTCTTTTTTGTACCCCAAACAGTATATGGTATGGTCATACATTAAACCATTATATGTTGGGGTTCTAAAACTGGCAGATTAACGCCAGACGCTGCGAGTCATAGTCGGGCTTTGCTCTGTGGCGCTAGGTCAACGGGAATATGAATGAAATGTTCCATAAGCAGCTCATGATCGTGTTATTCTGAACATAGGTGTCCATGTAAACAAAGTCATTGATGACTCACTGTGAAAGGTTAATATTTACTGATATTATTGGTCACTCCACAAATCTGTCGGGCTCTACAACTACACTCTGCATAGTTGACTTACAGGTACAGACTGGTAGGCGGGTCTTTGTGGATACACGGACTTGTCTGTTGTGCTGTATGTCGGTGGACCATGTTATTGACTGTGATGTTTTTTTTTTTCCTGTCATTCATTCCTCTGATTAAACAAAGTGAAAGTGGATGAACACTTGATGGTGCAGTTCTTAGGGTGTGACGGTTCACCTCAGTGCTCCGGACTTGAGCCTGAGCCTGTACCTTTAAGAGAAGCTCCGGGTCACACTGCCGGAGGAAGTGAAGAAGTCTGACTTTCGTTTCCTTCGTGAAAGCGCTTTGTATTTGTAGCTGCTGTGAAAGAGGAACCAGGAGGCACCCGGGGACAGATCTGCCGTGTCCTGTCCCTCAGGTGGACACGCTGTTCACTGGTGCTCGTGAGGACACACACACACACACACACGGTAAGTGAGTCCACAGGTGAGGGTGTATGTATGAGAGAAGCGCGAGCCTATCAGGTAGAACTGTGTCATTAAGAGTTAATAACTACAGTGTCCGACATTGTTCGGAGATACTGGAATGACTGGATACAGGTTCATGAGCTCACATGTATTATTTAAAGAAGAGTTGAAGGGAGTTTTTCAAAGTCAACGCAGCTGGAAATTCAAACACTAAACCTGGACGTCTGCTTGAATTACTACTGTTTATGTGTAATACTAGTGTTTGTGACTTTATATATTGTTGTATAGATATATTTATGCAAGTGGATGATGTGTAAACGTACAATTAAATTCGATTATATACTAGAATCGAGTATGAAATATTGTATATATAGATTCTTTTTAGATTGAATTATTTATTATTATTCTAGTTATAATAGTTTCACTAGTTTCCTTTATATGCACTATAGCAGAGATGCAACACTCATAAACCGAACTCGTAAAGTCCACTCCTGATTGTTAATCGTGGTGGACAGTAAAGTACATGTACTCAAGTACTGTACTAGTACACATTTGATGTACTTGCGCTTTACATTATTGCTATTTGTGCTACTTTCAGCTACTACTGCACTTCATCTCAGAAGGAAATTGTGTACTTGTTATTCCACAACATTTGTGTGACAGCTCTGGTTACAGATGATGGTGTGTAATCCAGCAGATGTGTTAATGTTGCATGTTGGTGATAATCTGGATTCAATTCCGTACATTCATTATCTCAATCATGAAAACAACAAGAGAGCTATTCCTAGATGTAAAGACGTTATTAATGATAGCAGCACCAGTTAATACTGATGATGTCTTTCACGAAAAAGCCTTTATAGAGATACATGCTTCTTACAGATATATGATGATCTCATAATATGATCCATTGCTCTAGCTACAGAAACAAACACCCACAGCAATAAAATACAACTTACACGATAATGCAGCAGTAATACTGTTCCAAAATATTGGATACAATAGTAAAACATTTTACTGCACTTTTAAGAACTTTTACTTTTCATTCTTCAAGTACATTTTGCTGATGATACTCACATACTTAAAATTTAAATAAATACAATTTACTTGAGTAAAGTATCTGAATACTTCTTCCAACACTTTGCTAACCGTTTACTCTTGAATTTAAAGTGTAGTGTACAGGGCCCTGTAGCCAGGGAAGTATGTATTATTAATTGCGTGATTTTGGAGAACATCTTGAGGATCATATCCTCTTTTTAGAACAATGTGGTTCAGTTGTAGTTGAAATGAAAGGAACCAAAATACAGCAGACATTCTTGGATGATATAGATTTGATATCTGAGATGTATAAATAATGGCAGGATCACTCTTACAGTTGGTTTTTGTCATAACTCACAAGACTCCATTGAACCTTTGACCTCAGAATGTCCCGTCATTAAGATTGTAGTCTGAATTGTATAAGAGATGCGTATTGTTAAATGTGTTATTTCAATGATTTTAACAGTGACTAACCAGAGTGTGTATTTCTGTATTCATCAGACAGATTTTCAATTAATATTTTTCTTTATTATATTGTTGATGAATCAGTTAATTGTGTGAACCATTAAATATCATAAATTCTAGGTTTGGTAAAAGCTAAAGCAAATATTCTCTTGCACTACTTACTCTTCATAGCCTGCTGATGCTCACATCTCTCTCTGTCTGTCTGTCTTTCTCTTATCCTTGTACTTTCCATCTGAACAATCCCAAAGGCCTGAGGTGCCTGCTGCACTTAGCCGACAAACTAAAAACAATGTTGACTCTATTACTTAAAAAAAGAAGCATCTCCTAATGTATCAAACTCACCGGATGATTTGTTACTAAAAAAAAATCCACCAGCGAATTCTGCCATCCCCTATCCCGACAGAGAGCGGCGCTTGTGCAGATGTAGAATTTATGTGTGCAGGTGAGCATCCTCTCATGGGATCTGCATTTTATTTTTAAAAGTTGAAATTGCCTGCTAAAGTGAAGCAAAACAGGAAGTAAGTCGGTAAAAATAACAAGAGGACAGTGCTGTTTGTCTCGCCTGTCAAACAGGCAAATTGACCATCAGCAGCACCAATGGCTGTTAGAACATAAAGATGTCACAGTCCTCTGCAGGCAGGATTCAGCATAAACTATAGATACTGCTTTCACTGTGTACTTTCACCCAACAAACATATTTAGTGTTGACTAGCAGGCCAAACTGAGGAGACAGGCAAGAAGGGTCTTGTCAGGGAGATGATAGCACCTAACAGTACTTTACTTTTTTAACTTTACTCTAGGCCTTTATGGTAGAGTACCATACTTTCAGTAAAAGTAATTTCCACTTGGAGTTTGCGAAATGGCATTTCAAGGAATCTGAGAGAACGAGACGCAAAAGATTCTCTGCTTGATAATATATTAGACAAATACTGTACCAGCATCTATGACCTGATATTTCTGTGTTTAATAAGCTGCTTTCACAGAATCTTTGGCATTTTTAACAAAAAACGTTTTTATCCAAACCTTATAATTTATTCTTAATTTCTGTCACATATTTATGTCCTGTGAAGACTTGACAACCCATGTCCCTGCTGGGCTATCATAAGAACAGTATCACAGGAACAGTGCAGTAATTGGCCAATCTGGGTGATTCCAGGAGGTTCAGTTAACCATCAAGTAATCTAGTGTAGTTCTGCTTTTTGGTCACCAGATGGAGGCAATAGATGGAGAAGAGCACGCCGGAGATGCTGATTTGTTAGCACCTCCAGGTGGCGGCTTGAATGAACTACAGCAGGTGGGGCAAGAGGACAACATGCAGGGACAGGTGAGCTCAACCGTCCTGTGAAATGAACTTCAACACCTTTTCTCTTAACAATCAGTAGCAGAACCTTTTTTTCTCCCCTATGTTCTTCAGATGGAGGAGTTTTTGGGTCCGCACTCAGAGTACAATGAGGAGGAGGAGGAGAGGAAATACTACAGGAGGAAGAGGCTGGGGGTTATCAAGAATGTTGTCGCAGCCAGTGTTGGAGCCATGATTGTGTACAGTGTATATATGGGTGAGATTAAAAAGTTTGATAGAGAAACAAAACGGTTGCAGACTCTTATATTTTCTTCTTCATTAATTTTGTGTGTGTGTGTGTGTGTGTTCACCACAGGCCTTCTGCAAATGCAACTGATCCTTCATTATGATATGACGTACCGTGAAGTGAAGTATAGCAACCTTGGACTAGAGGACATCGACAGCAAGATGTTGATGGGTATTAATGTCACACCCATTATCGGCCTGCTGTATACCCCTGTTCTCATCAGGTAGACACACACACACACACACACACACACACACACACAAACACAATATGTCCTTGTTCTGCCTCTATACACTCTGTTTATACCTCTTTCAGGTTTCTAGGTACCAAGTGGATGATGTTCCTGGCTTCAGGAATCTACGCCCTCTTTGTCTCAACCAATTACTGGGAGCGTTACTACACCTTGGTTCCATCAGCCGTGGCAATTGGCGTGGCCATAGTGCCACTCTGGGCCTCCTTGGGAAATTACATCACCAGGTGAGAAACATGATGCAGGTGGGTGGGTGGGTGAAGACGTTTCATGAGCTGCTGAGGTCTGGCCCTCGTCCCGTCAGAGCAGCAATGGTGGCTGGGATCTCAATGGTATAGATGAGCTGTCTCGGGTCGCTGCTCTTACCTTCACTGCACCACAACCACACATCTTCACCAACTCAACCGTTTCTCACTCGAACACTAAACCTAAAAATCTGCAATCAAACAAAACCAATGGCTTCTTCTTCTGGTCACATGACCAGCTCTGTATTTATGAGGATTTAGAAATTTTAGCCAGCAGATGATTTTTTTGCAAGACAAGACAAGAATAGCAGTTCTTTAAAGTTGAATTCGTAAAGTAACAGAAAAAGGGAACGTAAGGCACATTAAGCAGTTTTCTGACATGAACTCAGGAGAATCTTCTCTGGAAGTTTTCCTTTCACACATGAATAACGCAGCAGGTGCTCAGACGCGTTCACATCGACAGAAATCTCCAGATTGTTCAGGTTAGAGAATCACTTCCCTGAGTTTTTGTTCACAGCATATTGACACTGCCCTTAACACCACATATCCTCCATGTAAGGCTTTTCCATCCTGAGATAAATGTACTAGTTTTAATTTTTTCAGTTTTACGTCTGTCACTTTACAAAATGTTATTATTGTACTAACTTGCTCACAGTGAATCCACAGGATATTCTGCTGTTGTTTTCTCACATGGGCTCATTTGGACATTATCCAGAGTTTTTACTGTTTACTGAAAAAATTCCGGACACATACTGATTGTACCTTAAGTGTGTTTTTTAAAATAGACATATCTGTATTTGCTGTTCGCTTGTCTTATCAAACACATGCAGGATGGCGCAGCAGTACTACGAGTACGTCAACTACAAGGAAGAGCATGTGCAGGAGCAGAAGAAACTTCCTAAAGGAGTGTGCCATCGCTACATCATTATCTTCCAGACAATCTTCCACATCATCTTCCACGTGAGTCCTCGGCCACGTTTTCTTCTTTAATGCTGTGTTGTCCTTAACATCAGAAAAGTTCTTGTGTGCTACTTCAGAGAAAAGATAAACCACTGATCCCTGTCTTCTCTCTTCCTCAACAGTTGAGTTTTGTCTTTGCGGAGTTCCCCATGCGTCTGGTCCTCCACGACTACTTGCAAGATAACAAGCATATTCTCTGGAATGTCAAATACTGTGGTAAAGACACATGTAACTCCTCCTCCGATGAATGATAACTTACAAATGACCATAGGACAATTATGTATGAGGAGTCACTCATTTCTATCCAATGAGATAATTCATTGAAAGTTAAAGGGAGATTGTGTAACTGACTTTGCAGCAGCTGCTGCGGAATCAAGACATGATGCAGATGCTAAAAAATGGTGTAATAGTGGAATGGGTAGCATCATCATCAATTGAGAGAAATTCACTACTGTATGATATCAGTTCTGCAGTAATATCTGTATAAGGTTTGCTAACATTAGAAAACATTATCCAAAGTATGCTTCTGTTCATATTAGACCAAGTGAGACTGTGGCAGCAAAGCCCATGAGTGCAATGAATTAAGCAATTGTGCTTTTTATTACTTCTGCCAGGGAGGTTATGTTTTCATGATGAAAAATCCTGCAGGAAACACATGTGTAAAACTGACACATCTTCTCATCACCTCCTCTAATGTGTGAATTCTCCTCCTCCTCTATCAGGTGCAGTTGTCAGTGGACTGGTCCCTGGCTTCAACACCACCGTGCTGAGAACACTGCCTCGCTCCATGCTGCTCATTGAGGTGGAGAGTGTCCTCATGGGCTTCGCCTTCGTAGCCATGATCATTGTAGGACCACACACACACACACACA